TACTACCAAGTTGTCCTAATTCTCTGAGTTCAATTCTGAATTACCTTCAAATTTATATGTTTCCTTGCTAGTACACAACTATCCTTAACTAAAACTTGCCCCACAATCTTTAGCATAAAACCACACCGCCCTAAGGCTCATAAACCGTTGTATTCTCCTGAAGCACCCCCAAAAGTACCACAACAGAGATGCCCGCTCTGAAGAGACCTTCTGCGAATCTAAAGCCATTACCTCTACCTTCCTGATACTGGTATGTAGAATTCATAATGATACATAAAAGCCACAAGTCCTGACATCCTCCCATATAAATCTCAGTTTCTAGCCAACACGCATCCTGAAGATTCCCAATTACTACATGTAAATCTTGAATCCTTCAAAACCATTCTCGGGAGTCATCCACTCTACTCCGGTTTCAATTAGACTGATCAAACGAACCGAACGACATGCGCCCCATTAGTACAACAACACCTAAGGAAGTAACCCCACCTTAATGCAACCAAATAAATTCCTGCTTCATGCACATTACATCCTTCACTAATAACAACTCAAGTCATTCCATGATTCTTATACACCCATAAAGCATAACACAACCCCTATCCAAAATTTCCTTTACTCGAGTCATCCTCGATCTCAACCCCTGTATGTCACAACTGATTCGCCAGTGTACCTCAAACTGAAACTGATACGGCACTTAGCCGCACAATCAACTTATCATTAGCAAACTCCCCCACTTGGCTCAAAGCCATAGGTCAAAACACACAATAAATCATAATGCCTATACTCTATCACTGCCATAGTACCATAGTGAGATTCAACTAAATCCCTCATAAGCTCATGCGACGTATACCATCTCGTATTTCAAATCATTTTCAAACCTCGCATTCACCCCCGTCACAGTCAAGCCCACTTTCTTAAATGACCCAAATTCAAATTGCAACACGTATAAATCACTGGTAAAGGAGGACTCGCTACAAAACAGCATAGGGATCACACGCCCTCAGGACACCCTGCAGGAGATAACCCACCTGCTTCGTCTCAAACTAACATCTCTTTATACCCTTCCACCGTCATAAACATCACGCAATCACTTAATCTTCCCGAGTTTGAACTCATAGCACGACATGAAATCTACTTCATTCCCCAACTAAACAACATGAAAAGATCATTCAACACACCCATAACTCGGGGCTATACATCAAATCAAGATGGAAATCAAGCGCCAAATAGTTCTTGCTACCCCCAAGCAGACCCTTCTCGTCTCATTCAATTTCATATGAACACATCTCGCAGTCACATCATACTCATCACGTAGCTATCCAGTCATCGCTTCCCTCAATAGGGACACCGTCGAACATATAGATCCAGATGCGCGTGCTCACACAATCAGCACCTCGGTGCTCAAACTACAGGCAAAATCCAACCTCAAGTCCTCCAGACTGGCCCAACATCAGCACACAGAAGTCACATCTCGCCCCTGGATCAGGGAATCACAAGCCGTCGATGCACAAATGATACTGAGCGCTCATGTGCGCATACAAACGCGTGGAAGAAATTTCAAGAGTTACATTTCAGGCTGAATCAATGTCGCACGATAAGAATTCAAGAATGTGAAGTTTTCCTAAAGGTTCTGTAGCCTCCCGAAGATAAGTACAGACGTCTCCGTACCGATCTGCGAGACTCTACTAAACCTGCTCATGACTCGTGAGACCTATGTAACCTAGGCTCTGATACCAACTTTTCACGACCCTAAAACCGACCCGGTCGTGATGGCGCCTATCGTGAAACTAGGCCAGCTGGCACAATTTCAAAATCAAACCATTATTCTAAATATGTCATTTTTAAGCCATAAATTAACAAGAAATCTCATAATATGAATCTAAATAACCAGTGCGGAAACATAACACAAGCCCGACATCAGGTGTCACTAGTCATGAGCATCTATTACCACTGTCTGACAACATAAGACCAACATGGCCGGGAAATCACTGAGTACAACTAAGGAAGAATGAGAAGGGAGAAAAGCAGGGCTGCGATCGCCAAGCAGCTACCTTGCTAACTCTGATGAACCTGCCACCGAGCTTAGAATGCCTGAATCTGCACACAAATTGCAGAGTAATGTGAGTACGCCAACTCAGTAAGTAATAAAAGTAAATAAAGTCTGAGTAGTAAGAAATCATGTAAAACACGTCATAGCACCACAGCGGGTACAGTATGTTTCCAAAACCAGGATACAAATCAGATTATCTCATTAAACTCCAATTTCAGTGAAATCCTTTGAAAAATAACTTTCTACAAGTTTCATTAGAGGTTCAATGTAGTTTATAATGAAAGTAATAAAAATCGTAGTTGGCCCCTTGGGCAAAAATAATTCATAAACAGCCCTACCGGCAAAAACCCTCAGTCATTCATTTACATCACATAATAGGAAAATCTCAATGGAAATAACAAAAACCAAATCAGTGATTTACTTCCATACATCTCGTAAAAATTCCAGTTTCAATGAAAGTTGCTCAAAACATTTGTTTAACATTTTCAATAAAGGCTCGGTATAAAGATGAGTTAAAACAGTAATTTCATAAAAACAAGCCCCTCCGGCAAAGCATCACTCGTATACATGTATATATATAGCCCCTCGGGCAAGCCTCTCAGTCACTCATGACTCAACTCTCATCAGTCAGCGCTCACACTCAGCACTCACGCTCAATAAGTACTATATAATAACTACTACGGCGTGCAGCCCGATCCATATATCGCCGCGGCGTGCAGCCCGATCCAAAATTGCTGCGGCGTGCAGCCCAATCCATAAATATATATAATATCGCTGCAGCGTGCAGCCCGATCCATAAATATATATATATAATATTGCTGCAACGTGTAGCCCGATCCATAAATATATATAATCCTCACCACCAGGCCCTCGGCCTCTCTCAGTCATCAACCTCACAATCAGACCCTCGGTCCCTCTCAGTCGCCAGCCTCACAAGCCACTCGGGCTATTAGTAACACAGGGTGCTCAGCCCAAAAATATCGTTTATAGCATCAAAACTGAGTAAATAAGGCCGAGTTATGAAATCAGTGAAACATAGCATGACTGAGTGTAGATATTAAACCAAAACAGTGAGGAAAACAGTAGTAATATTTTCCAAAACACAATGATATCAAGGCCCAAATATGGCATTGAGCCCAAAACATAGTAATATTTTCCAAAACACAATGATATCAAACAAATTTCAATCAAATACGCGACTTAACAGTCGCACGGGACGGACCAAGTCACAATCCCCACAGTGCACGACCCCACGCTCGTCATCTAGCATTTGTGTCACCTCAAAGTAGCACAACGATGTGAAATCCGGGGTTTCATACCCTCAGGACAACATTTACAATCATTACTTACCTCAAACCGAACGAGAATCTACACCGCGATGCCCTTGCCTCTCGACTCGGCCTCAATTCGCCTCAAATCTATCCAAAATCAGATTCATAACATAAATATACGCTAAAGGAACAAAGCCCACGCGAAAATAATCAAATTACATAAAAAGTCCCGAAATTGGTCCAACCCGACCCCCAGGCCCACGACTCGGAATCCGATAAAAATCACATCAATAAAATCTAAAATCCTTATCCTCCCACGAGTCCATTCATACCAAAAGCATCAAAATCGGACCTCAAATGGTCCCTTAAATCCCCACTCAAAGCTCTCCAATATCAAGCCCTAATCCCTCAATTTTCTTCCTTAATTTCCACTAATACCATGATTAAACAATGGAATGGTCATAAACACAAGTAATGAAGCTTAAGTGGCTTACCCAACTGATAACCTTCGATTTCCCTTGAAGGATCACTGCACTAGCTTACCTCCCGTCTTCAAAAATGGAGAAGTTAGCAAAAATTCACGAAGGAAACCTTATATACTTTCTGACTCAGGGATTTCGCACCTGCGGTCCCTTTTCCGCTTCTGTGCTACCGCTTTTGCGGTCAAACTACCGCTTCTGCGGTTTTCACTTAAATACTGAAACCGCACATGCGCCTCACCTTCCGCACCTGCGATCTCGTAGGTGCGCTAAAGCTTCCGCACCTGGGACCTCTGGTCGTCTAGTCCCTGGCCGCTTCTACGGCTTACCCAACGCTTCTGCGATCATGCACGTGCGGTCCCCAATCTGCAGGTGCGGTTATGACAGGGGCAGCAACTTCAGCTGCTCATTTCCAAAGCCAAACTTTCCGAAAAATCTTCCGAATTCGTCCTGAGGCCCCTCGGACCTCCACCAAAAGTACGAATAAGCCACATAACACTATTCAAACTTATACCAACCTTCGGAACACTCAAAACAACCTCGAATCATCAAAACACCCTCGGATTCAAGCCTAAGGTTCCCAAAACTTCCAAATTCCGCTTTTGATCAAAAAGTTTATCAGACCTTGCCCGAATGATCTAAAATTTTGCAGACACGTCACAAATGACACATGGACCTACTCCAATTTCCGGAATTCCATTCCGACCCTGATATCAAAATTTCCACTGCCGACCGGAAACTCCAAATTTCCAATTTTACCAATTCGAGCCTAAATCTACCACGGATCTCCAAATCACATTCCGAACGTGCTCCCAAGCCCAAAATAACTAAACGGAGCTAACCAAAACATAAAAATCCAAATCTAAGATCGAATACTAAAAAGTCAAGACTGGGTCAAACCTTTCAAATTTAAGGCTTCGAATTGAGAATTGTTCTTCCAAAACCATTCCGATTATCCTGAAAACCAAAACAAATGATTTACATAAGTCATAATACATCATACGGGGCTAGCCATGCTCGAGAACTGGCGAGCGAAGTACAAATGCTCAAAACGACCGGTCGGGTCGTTATAATTAAGGTTGTAGGTTAGGAGGTAGTTGGGCATATCTCTACAGCCCTCCAGAGTGAGGCTAGTCTATTAGGGCTTGGTGTTAACTGTTAGTGGTTAATGTTGAGTTCACACTACTCTTTCGTTCCTCTTAGTGCTGGGCTTTATCTACTGGTTATTGTTCTGCTTTTCATCTATTTTCTAGTTCTGGTGATGTTGTTCTTTGTTCTATGGTTTCTATTGATGGTACTGATATATTGCCTCTTTTCATCTTCTTGAGCCGATGGTCTTTCAGAAACAACCTCTCTACCTCCTCGGGCTTGGGTAAGGTCTGCGTACACACTACCCCCCAGACCCTACTTATGGGATTTTACTGGGTCGTTGTTGTTGTTCCCTTTATTTCTCTGCAAAAAAATTATGTCTGGAACTAACCAAATAAATCAGCATGAAAGTAGTTGAGAGGTGACACCAAGAAATTCACCTATGAATTCTCCATGTTAGCCTCGAAAAATTCACTAGTAACATCTGCTAATCGGAGTGAGGAACTGCTAGGCTTGAACAATGAGTTGAAAAATTTCATTGCTCAACAAATTGGAGAGGCACTTAGGGCATTGACATACAATGTAGAGGCTATAACCCCAGCTCCATAACCACAAATTAATATGGCTACAAAAATTTCAATTCAGGACTTGAAGATTCTGAAAGTAGGAAAGTTCTAAACAGTTCCGGAGCAGGAGGTTCAGGTATACCTGGTAATTTTGATTTACAAAATTTACTTCTAACCTTGCATAAATAAATCAAGGAGCAGAACCAACGGATAGAATAAATTCAAGGTGTGCCACTAGTAATTAAAGGTGTGGATATAGATAAATATTTACAATAGCTGTGGAAGCCTAGAGTAGCGCCACTAGCAGTTCCAAAAAATTTAAAACGCCTAATATACCCAAATATGATGGAACTTCTAATCCACGAGATCATGTGATTGCATTTACCACAGAAGTCAAAGGCAACGATTTGAACAAGAAAGAGATCGAATTAGTGCTGGTGAAGAAATTTGGAGAAATCCTCACCAAAGGGGCATTAACATGGTATTTCCTTCTCCCCGAGAATCCAATTGATTCATTTACTAAACTTGCAGATGCTTGTATCAAAGCTCGTTTGGGAGTTAAAAAAGTGGAAAAATGAATGGAAAGATACAATAGTTAAGTATGGAATTACTTAGAGAATTCACGGATTATTTTCAACGGGAGACAATATTGTTACCACTCGTGTATGATAACTGGACGCCAATAGCTTTTGCAAGGAACTTGAATGAAAGAAGCTTAGAGGCAACGAGAAAGTTAAAGAAGAGTCTTTTGAATTCCCTCCAACTTCGTGGAATGATGTCTACAACTGGCAGAACACGAAACTTCGAATAGAGGAAGATACGCCGATTCAACCAAAAGATAGAAATAGGTTCAGAGATCAAATAGACATGCTCCCTAGAAGGCTCAAGTTTGATCGAAGAGTTCGAAAAATAGGTACGAAACTTATATGGGCCCATCACGATGGGATCATAGGCAAAAATCAGAACCTGTATGATTTAAACAAAGGTCTAGGCAGAAAGATGCAAATTTATCTTCAACGATTGGAGTAGAATCGGATACAACAAAATACAACGATTATAATTTCAGACCAATATTAGTAAATTACTTCAACGTAAGCACATCATAGCTGATAGCAGTATTGATTGATGTTGAAGATAAGGTACAATGGCCCAAAGAAATAAGGTCGGATCCCAATAAACAGAGTCAGAAATTTTGGTGCGAATTCTATAATTATCATGGGTATAGAACAGTAGATTGTAGACTTTTACAACATGAGGGAGATCATCTTTTTAAGAAGTGTTATCTTACTGAATTATTTAGTGAGAAAGGTAAACAAGCTTACAAGACAAATGAGGAACAAGCTTCCATCACTGAAAAGGAACATGAATATGATAACTGGGAGTAAGGAAGTTAATGGAGTAACATTTGCAGCAGCAAAGAAACTGCTAAAGTGTTCATAACGCACGAGAAACGTACTCCACAAATTCTAAATGGGGAGAGCATAACTTTGGACGACAAAGATATGAACGACTTATTAATACCACATAATGATGCATTGGTAATTATTTTACATATTTACAATACCAATGTTAAAAGAGTTTTAATTGATCCAGGAAGTTCAGTAAATATCATACAACTATGAGTAATTGAATAAATGCAAGTAGTAGATGGGATCATCCCAAAAGCTCGATCTTTGTCTAGGTTTGATAATTCAAGTGTGATAACTAAAGGAGAAATGACGTTGTCAACTTTTACATAAGGAGTTGTGAAAGATACTACTTTTCAAGTGGTGGTAGCTGACATGTAGTATAATATAATTCTAGAAAGGCCATGCATTAATAAAATGGAGGCGGTACTATCAACATTGCATCAAATTGTCAAGTTCCCTTTAAAATGGGGAATAAGGAAAATCAGGAGCAATCAATGTGCAACATGAGAGATAAATTCGGTATCTACAACCAATGACTTGGAAAAAATTGAAGATGATAAATAGTAATTAAAGCATCAAGCTGTGGAGGTGAGTGATCCCTCAGCATCCATAGAATCTGTTTAGGAAGCTAACGCAAGTACAGTTGGGAAACTAGATGTAGTCATGGAACTAGAGAAAAATAATATGATGAATACAATTTCGGAAGAGATAGAAGCTATTATTTTGTTCGTCAATTGAACTGAAAGAAAATTTTATATCAGATGAAATCTCAGCCAAGGACAAAAGAGTAGGTTAATTAAATTTTTACGAGCTAACACTACTATTTTGCTTCGTCGCATTCAGACATGACAGGTACTCCACCGGAAGTAACGACGCACAAGCTCAATGTGAATCCTTTACGTACCCCAGCTAAGCAAAAGAAGATAAAAGCAAATATCTTTTCAGAATCAAGTAATAAAGGAAGAGGTATGTAAGCTCTTGAAAATTGGGTCAATTCAAGAAGTCAAATATCTAGATTGTGTAATGACCCGGTCATTCATTTTATGTAATTGAGCCACGTTCCCCTATTCGATGCTTCCCGTATGATTCTTTATTTTATTGTGACTTGCGAGTATGGTTTATTTGATTTTAGAGAAGTTTTGGAGTGAATTGGAATACTTAGTTCCAAGGTTGGAAGCTTAAGTTATATGAATTGACCGAGGTTTGACTTTTTCGTAAATAAACTCAAAATAGTGTTTTGATAGTTCCAATAGGTTCGTATGGTGATTTTTGTTTTTGGCATAAGTTTGAATTTGGATTTGGAGGTTTCTAGGATGATTTGGTTCTATTTGGCGAAAGTTGGAAATTTGAAAGTTTGGAAGGTTCATAGGTTTGGCTGGGAGTTGACTTTGATGTTATCAGGTTTGTATTGTGATTCTAGGAATTGTAATATGTTCCTTATATGATTTGAGACTTGTGTGCAAAATTTTAAGTCATTCCGAATTGGTTAGATGTGGTTCGGCATGAGTTTTGAAAGTTGGAAGTCTGATTAGTTCATTAAGCTAGAATTGAGGTGCGATTTGTAGTTTTACTATTATTTTGTGGGATTTGAGACCTCGAGTAATTATGTTTTGGGATTGGTTGTTATGATTGGGGTCTCGGGATCGTCGTGTGTGTTTCAGGGGTAGTTTCGCACCATTTCCATGAGTTTTGGACATCACATTTTTGCTGGTGTCTAGTGCCCTTCGCGTTCATGTGGAAGCATCGCATTCATGATGAAGGAATTCAGGAGATGGGAGCTTTCTCTTCGCATTCATGAAAGGCAGTCGCGTTCGTGAAGAAGGGGGGTAGTACTGGGCAGAAGGTCTTCGCGTTCGCGAGGCTACTGGGCGCATTGGCAAAGGGAGGGAGCCTTTGGTCTTCGTGTTGGCGTGCTCCTATTGCATTCGCCAATGAGGTTTTGTTCTAGCATTGATTTAATGCTTCGTGAACGCGAGGCACATGGCGCGTTCGTGAAATATTTAACTGGGCAGTGCTTTAAGATATCTTTTTCGGGAGTTTTAATCATTTTTATCATATTTTGAGATTGAGAGTACGAACTTGGGCGATTTTTGAGGTGATTTTCACCACTTGGATTAGGGTAAGTGTTGTTGACTCAGATTTGATTATTATTCATGATTCTACCTTTGATTTTTATTTGATGGGCAAATGTAAGAGAGAAAAATAAGGGGTTTTGGAAAAAAAAATTCTACAGAGAAAAATGGAGATTTGGACTTTGATTTCGAGTCGTTTTTTATGATACTTATATATTTGGACTCGTATTGTAATGTATGTTCGGGATTTGTAAATTTTGTCGGGTTCAAAGATGTAGTCCCGGGTTGACTTTGTGCAATTGATTAAAGATTTAGTTTTTTATAGTTTGGCTTTGATTTCTATGACCTTGTTTGACGTTATTGAGTTGTATTTAGCAAGATTCGACTCATTCGGAGGTCGATTTGAGAGGAAAGGCTATTTTGGGAAAATAGAGGTTACGGGGTGGAGGTAAGTCTCTTTTCTAACCTTATTAAGAGGGAAACCCCTAGAATTTGACTTGTTGACTATTTGTTTAAAGTATTGGGGATATAGTATGTCCGTGATGGAGAGAGTATATGCATTTACCGAGTTTATATCATGATTGGGAGTAGAAAGTGGAATATTTCACGCTTTGTTTGACTATGTTCTTGTTTAATTCATGATTTATTTGGCTTGTGCGACTATGTTTGATCTCTTATTCATGTTAGAAATCATGCCTAGGCTTATGATTAATTGTGAAGGCATGAGAACTTATTCTTGATATGTTGAAATGCATAATTATCCGTAGTCACATAGAGATTTCATGAGTACATATTCGTATGATATTTATTAATTCCTTCTGCACATTTTATCAAAAATTCTTGAACATATACATATGTTTTGATTAATGAATATGTGAATCAGACTGAGGACTTTGGCACGACGGGGCGTGCGGGTAAGACACAATTTTGGCACATTGGACATAATTATCGGATATTGATTTCTGAGGGATGCTATTATACCCCTCGTGCATTTGGATTTGTATCCGTCTCTCCAGAGTCAGGTGATAAGCCATGTTACTTTGGGCCTTGTGAACGTGGTCGGTACATGAAATTTGTACTGGGTTGATATATAGATTTGTATCGGGTTATGTGATACATGGATTGTGTATCAGGTTACATGGATCTTGTACCGATTGAGCATGCATTCTTATTATTGGTTCGATTTGAAGTATTTGTCTCATTGTAAATTATTACTGATGTCCTTTTATGCTAGTTGGGAGTCCCGTCTCCGTTATTTAAGCATGTCATCTTTCATTGTTATATCTAAGCAGTGATAGGGTTATTTCTGTACTAGAAAAGAATGTTTAGTAGCTTTCAACTGCTGACATCTGTGGTTCCTAAAATTTTTGATACTATTCGCTATTTTAGTTCTTATTCTATTATTATATCTATGTGGTAAGTATTAGGAAACATCTAGCCTCACCACTACTTCATTGAGGTTAGAATTAATACTTGTTGGGTACCAACTGTAGTGTACTCATACTATGCTTCTGCACATTTTTTGTGTGCAGATCCTCAGGTTGGTCCTAGTGGAGTTTCCCTATTAGGCTAGGAGATCTTATAAAGACTTAGAGTGAGCTGCACTTTATGGATCTACTTCGCAGTTCCTGAGTCCCTGTTCCTTATTATATTTCTGTCTTATTGTACTTCAGATAACTTGACATGTATACAGACTTGCTCGTGTACTTGTGCCACCTAGTCTTGGGGGCGTATTGTATTGGCCGTGTTTAGGCCTTGCTTGTGGTACTATCAGATATTCTCACTGTCATGAGACTATTTCCATATTTTATTTCTATATATCTCTGTTAAATAATAAAAATAGACTTTATTCGTTATCTCCGGGTTGGCTTGCTTAGCAAGTTTGACTAGGCATCATCGTGGCCTTGAGGTGGGATTTTAGGTCATGACAAGTTGGTATCAGAGGTCTAGATTGTGTAGGTCTTACGAGTCACGAGTAGGTCTAGTAGAGTCTTCTGGTCGGTACAAAGACGTCTGTACTTTTCTCCGAGAGGCTACAGGATGTTAGGAAACTACACATCTTTCATCTTTTATCGTGCGACTCATTGATTTGAAGTT